TTGCTAGTAAAATTCAGCTCCCGTCTATTCAGTCCCAAAGATCGTACTGTTATCTGTACCCCTGCCATAGCCTTCAAATCCATACAAATCACAGGTTCCTATAACAGAATGTCTTATTTAGTTTTCAGTCTGGGAACCAATACTGATGGGCTGACTGATCTGAAGAGTGTCTCATTTGGGATCTGGCCCTGCTAACAGTGACTGTTCTTTCCACAACTTAGCCACCTTTCTTGGAATCTTATTAAATGGATCTAATGGTCTTACATATAGCCTGCTCTTTGATGGATCCAAAGCAGATGCCGATTAGGGATGATAGCTATGGGGTAATTGAATAGTCGAGTAACCACATGAATTCTTAGCAGTTACTTGACTATTTGATAGCCTCCGGGGGTAGGACTGGCAGCCAGTGCAATCCAGCCCCATTCTTGGGGAGCCCTCTGCCACCCTGCACTGCTGCCTTTGTATCAGAGGCAGCCACATGGGGCGGTAGGTGGGAGCCCATCCATGAGGGAAGCCAATTTAAAAACCAGCTCCCCTTGTGGACCAGCTGTCTGCCACCCTGTGCTACTGCCTCTGGTACTGAGGCAGCAGCACAGGATGGAAGCAGCCCCTGTCCACAGGGATCCAATCTCCCCATGAACAGCGGCTGCTGGCGAGTGGGGAGGCTGCTATGGAGAGCCTAGGCCCACCACAGGCAAAAGCTGTTCTGTGACAGCAACTTCTGTCCATGGGGACCTGGGAACCCCATGGACAGGGGCTGCAGTTACAAAACAGCTTCTGCCCACAGCAGACCCAGGCTCACCACAGACAGAGGCTGCTCCCCAGAAAAAAAAGGCAGGGGGGGGGGGGGGAATGCAAGTAGTTAAGATTAACTGATAAGCCTAGGGTTATTGATTAATCATATACTTGACTACTCATTTACACCCCTGGTGCTGATGGCACTTGACAGGCTTTCAGTTTTAATAGATCTCATATCTTGCATGCCATACATACTGCAAGTTCTAGAGTCAACTCCTATGCTGATGCCTGAGTCTTCATAGGCCACACAGTTTTAGAGCTGAACCTGATGCTAACAGCAATCTCTTCTCCCTGTGTTCCATGCGCTGAGATAAATCAGACCCTACAGGCTATACTGCCAAAGCCACTTGAATCGAGGTGCCCATAGCCTATTTTATCTGTCCTTAAACACTCCGGCTGTGTCTACATTGGCAAGATTTAGTGCAAAAGCAGATGCTTTTGCGCAAAATCTTGCCATCTGTCTACACTGGCCGCGAGTATTTGTGCAAGAATACTGACGTTCTACTGTATGAAATCAGTGCTTCTTGCACAAATACTCTGACGCTTCCCGCTCAGGGATAAGTCCTCTTGCGCAAGTGTTCTTGCGCAAGAGGCTAGTATAGACAGGTAACATCAATTTCTTGCACAAGAAAGCCCGATGGCTAAAATGGCCATCGGAGCTTTCTTGCACAAGAGAGTGTCTACACTGGCAGGGATGCTTTTGCACAAAAGCAAATCTTTTGCGCAAAGGCACATGCCAGTATAGACTCTCTCTTGCGCAAATACTTTTAACGCAAAAAGTCTTGCGTTGAAAGTATTTGCGCAAAATCATGCCAGTGTAGACGTAGCCTCCTGGAATAAATGTATAACAGATGGAGCATGTGGCTAGACAATATCCTTCACCAAGATATGAGAGGCACCTTAGATGATAGTTTGATGCCAGGGACACTGACACAAGACATGTCTCTTGAACATGCTCTTCTACTCTTCAGACCTGCTATTACAGCTCTGATGGAACTGGAATTAAAATAAGTTTCTACCAGTAATTAATTTACGAACACATCAGCCAATAATAACTAGCTTCCAATACACTTTTCTACTACCCTACCTAATGACACGACAGAAAAATAAGGCTCTGGACTGAAGAGATGTGTCCAGGGTCAAAATAAAGAATTTTGCAGCCCTGGGAGCAATGGAAATGGCACCCCTTCCCACTTTCCTCAAGAGACCCAAGAAACCAGAGCCATCACAGAAGCCCTTTAGTTTTACGTGGCTCTGATTACTATGCCTACCTGGGAGAGCATTAATAGACAAAGCTGTGTTGAACGCCAAATCTGTCTGTGCTTATGCCAAGAGTGCCAAATTTGAGCCCATGTGCCAGGTCAGTGAGTGGTTTTGAGAAGTCATGTTTTTGTCTAGAGAGTTTATTTATATACAAGCTACATGATAATGAACATAAAAGTTTTATTTGGCTACAACAGAGACAAACTGAGGAGATTATGGAGTTGACCCTGGAGCCTCCAATCTATTAGTAGCCAAAAAGAGAAGGGGATGAGACTTCAAATTTTCAAAACACCTACTAGTGAGAGGCAGATATGAAGACCAACCCCAAACAGGATACAAAAGCTTTCCGATAAGAATCCTCCCAGCAGCAGAGCATAAACTCTGGGCTTTTAACTCAACTGTTGCCTGTGGACTTACTTTGCAGGATGTCTCCAATTCTCATCCATTCACCTGTTCTATTGGCCTCCCACTAGCAGGTTTAGTCCTCTCATTAGAAAGTATACGGTAAATATTTCAATCCCTAACTAGAGTTTATTTAAAGTTAATTGTTTTTAAAAAGTTCATCATTTAATTGAGGTGAAAAGAAGCAGAGTTTCAACCCTAAGAGTGACTTTTACAGAAATCTGAGAAAGCTGCAATAGTTAAGGGAAATTATTTTACAATCCAAACTCATGTGGTCACCACTTACAAATGTTATACAGGTATGACCACTTGCTATTTTATTTTTCAGATATTTTCTTGGAGCAAATCAGGTAAGG